TGACTGTAATCCTTAATACTCTTAACTGCTTTCACATATTATGCATGATGACGTCTTAATTTATATGCATGACGTATATAATTTGGGACGTTACATTAATGGTATCAGAGCAGTTATTTTCTTAGGAAATCCTGTAGGATGGGTGTATCTTGCTCATGTTGTGCACTCTTAGTAATGTTTTAGTGGATTATTGTTGTTTCTTTAAGCGGAATTGATGGTCTTTTCTCTCTGCATGGACAGAAAATGGCATTTGAGAACACTCAAATACAATTCATTGAAGTGTTGACTAGTGACAGGACCATTATGGGTACTTTCTCCTCAGTTATTAAGGTTCAAGAGTGGAACTTGGAAAGTTTTCTGTAACACCATCAAACTTAATTTTGTGGCGATACTGGTACCGATGAAGCAGACCCACGGTTTAAAGATTTTTAAGATGGATCGACACCGAAGTTGAAGTTGACAAAACTTAGAAGAACGAATCATTTGGGGAAAAACAAGGACAGAAACCCTATCAGCAATCCCAACCACTTGAACTTATATCAGAAACGTGTTATGAGGGTAGTGGTGTTCACTACATGAGAGACTGCCCTAAACTCTCTGGGGTGAAGATTGAAGAGAAGAAACACTTTGTTTGGCAGACTTTAGTATACCAGTGAATGATCTAGGATTCGAACTGGTGGTTTTACCCAGCATCAGGACAAAACCAGACTAGTTCAGTCTGTGTTGGATTCTCAACTATCGTTGTCGGGTGCCAGTTCAGGGTGACCTTGATCTCTTTAACTCTTCAAGGCATGGATGTTATTCGGGGAATGGGTTAGTTTAATGTCAACTATATTTTCTTAACTGTGATAGAAAGCAGTTGGTGTTTCCAGACTCAAATGGTTTGGAACTGACCTCGATTTAAGGAAGTTTTGATGGATGTTAGGGATGGAGTTATGTGTTTTGTGGTGTTAACTCAACGTAAAAATTATGATGTATAAGTGTATACAAATTAGAGTGTTTCAAATTAAGTTGGGATGCTTAATGGTTATATTGTTTGGCGTGGTTAATGGTATAATTTGTGCGGATACTTTGAAGGATATAAATTTTATGTACTTTTGTTTCATGGGGGGAATATTACAAATATGTGTTATGCGTAATTAGTTGATAAAATTTGTGTCGTACCGGGGATTATGGTATTATAATATTTGATCCTTTTGCATTCTGTAAAGATATTCCGTAAAGACAAATACTTTCTAACTATTTAATTAATTTCTTTCTAAGATTTTAAATATTGGTTTAATTCATTTGAGTTCAAATTAAAAGTATGTGTTAGCATAAGAGTGTACAGAGGGGAGCTATTCTCAAGGAAATTAAATTTTATCATTGAAAATGAGTAAGAAAATGGCGTAAGATATGACAAATATCATAGATTTCAATAACTCAGGTATATAAGGTTACAGAGACTGCATAGTGTTCCAAATCTTATAGTAATAACAGATACCTTAATCTTCGTGTGAAGATAGTACTACACGCGTTAAGCAAACATACATGAAGAGTAGAACAGATAAATATTACAGTACTTAATTAAAAATAAAGTGTTCAAGAGTTGGTCACAAGTGACCATTAGGGATACAGACCATAAAATACAGCAAATAAATAAAAGCAGTTTACTTAAAGAGATTACTAATCGGCGAGCGACAATCTCAGAGAAAGCTCTGTGGAAGGAGCTTGGGTACGAAACAACATAGGTGGAGTAACTTTCCCTTCCTCTTTACGTATAGCGGGAATGGGAAAGAGATCTAAGAGCTTCGGAGTCCGTGGAAGTACCCATGAAGGATCTACGGTATTGCAAAAATAATTGTAGTTAGAGATAAATAAAATCAATAACAAATTAAACATATAAAATAAATAAAGGGAAAGAAGAGGAAAGGTAAAGAAGGTATACCATACAAAAATGGCGGAATAAGAGTAAATGAAGATCCAGGTTTACCAGGGATGCTTTGTTGCCAGCCTTTATTCTTCACCCGATTTCCATGATTCTGAAACCAGCAGTAGACGCTGTATTCTCCGACTTCCCCGTACTCCCGGATTCGTTCTGTAATCTCGCAAACTTGATCTCGAGTAGGATTGATGATCCCATGGTTGTAGATGTTCAGCAAGATTCTAACTTGTTCCGGGGTGGACCGCCAGCGTTTATGAACTGTCTTGGCTTCCATATCCATTCTCTAAGTTTTGATCATAAAGTAAAGTAAAGTAAAAAGTAAAAAGATTTATTACAGTTAAGTCAGGTTCCAATTTAAGTGAAGTTTTTCATTTGTTTCTTCTCTTTTAGTGAAATTATTAAGTGTTGAAGTCTCAATGTCCAAAACTAGATATGTTTCACGATCCTTTCAAGGGTTCCTAAACGGATCTACGTCCAGATTTTCCATGTCCAGGTGTTCATACAAATAAAATTCAAATTTTTTTAAGTTTTCTGTTTTTATGGGGTACGTGGCGTTGTTCTACCCGATTGTCTCTGCCATACCTTCAAACGAAGGGAGATTAACGTCTAGTTTCCAGCCGATATACCCCTTATCTTTGTTAAGACAGTGTGTTCTTAGTGTTTGTTAATATAAAGAAAAATAGAAGAAGAAGAAAGCAAGTAAAGGAGCAGAAGTAAATAATGAGCAGAAAGTAAAGAAGAGCGCAGTATATAATTTGCGAGAAATAAAAAGCTTAGAAATGAAAAGTGCATAAAAGGAAGCAGGAAGCAGAAAGAAGAAAGGAAAGAAGGAAGAAATAAAGAAGAAAGGGAAGTTAAGTAAAGGAAAGGAAGAGATAAGAGAAAATATATATTTACTCGCCACGGAGCAAAACCCTGAAACATGAAGTGAAGCTTGAAAGGTTTCTGATCTCGCGTACAGGCTCTCCGATCTCTAACACTCAGGCGTTCAGATCTCACAAGCTCTCACACTCAGAACTCTCTGTGCTTTGATCTTACTCTCTCACTCACACGCTCTGAAATCTCAACGTCTCAAAGTATCGCCCCACGCGGTTAGCTACTCCTTTTATAGCCAAAAATATCATTGTGCTCACAGTTCCAGTCAAGTATACCGGAGGCTTCAATAGTATCGGTTAAAAAAAAATAAAATAAAATAAAATAATAATAATAATAATAATAAAACTAAATAAAATAAAAATTTGGTATTAGTATCTGATCTTCCTCACATTTTGGAAGTGTGACATATTCA